CGCCCTGGGAGGCAGCCCGAGCCGCGAGTTTCGGCCTTCGGATTGACAGTGGATCACGGGAAGAAACGGGATTATTATGACCCTCTTCCGAGGAGCTATGCTGCCCGCCATGAGTAGGAAAAAAGGCCAGAAATACCTCGTTTGGTTGCTGTCTGGTGCCGCAATCTTCTAGCTTTTACTTTTATTTTTTTTTCTTTTATATTCACTGCGATTGCTTGGAGTTCTGAGCTGCATTGGATAAATGCCTTTCCCATCCGATTGACTCTGCTTTACAGAGAATATATACTTTCTTTTTTTTTTTTTTTTTTTTTTTTTTTTTTTTTGAGAGAACACCTCTCTGCTCTTCGTTACTTGTTTGCATTTTACGCAACAGAACGGTTTCTCCGAGTAATGGCCGCGCTCAGAATCACCGCCTGATGCTCCGGAGAGATGAATTGCAGCTGAGTTTCCTGTCCACTTTTGGATGAATCTCTGGAGTTTAAATTGTAGCAAGGAAGGGGGGAAAAAACCACGATGAAAGAGAAGTCTAAAAATGCTGCCCGGACTAGACGGGAGAAAGAAAACAGTGAATTTTATGAACTGGCTAAATTACTACCCCTGCCCTCCGCTATCACCTCTCAGCTGGACAAAGCATCCATAATCAGACTCACCACCAGCTATTTAAAAATGAGGGTGGTTTTTCCAGAAGGTAGGTGGGAATGCCTATACGCCTCTATTTTCATTCCGATCCAGGTGTCGTTTATCACTTTTACTTTCAAAATAATAAGGTTAATCCTATAATATGGTGTTCTCAGAGACAGGGTGCTCTCCGCTGTCACTTCTCTCTGTTGTAAATACTTTCCCTGTAGTTCCTATGACAGGAAGGTTGGGAACTTACGGTGCTTTTGTCAACACTTGAACGCATTGAGCTCTGCTGCGTGTTCTGCTAAAGTAAACCCGGGTATTCTTTTCCCCCAGTCTCCCAGTAAGATGTGCATTCCCCCGCCAAGCACGTGCGTGGCGAAAGAGGGGATGATTCACCCCTATTTATAGCCATTCTGTGGGGGGAGATAATATATGGGTAAATATTTACATAAGTCTATGCAAAGTCCTAAAGCCTTAGTTCAACTGTGGAGCAAAGGTGCGGTGTACAGGTACAGGACACGCGTACAGGCATGCTCACACATACACACACAGCCTAAATAAATAAGTCAAGCACGCCGAATCGCTTCATCAATGTGATGTGTCTCGCTCTGAGGATCACTAGGGCAATTTGAGGGCGTTAATTGACCTCGGAAAATTTTAACAGGAGTTTTGTACCCAGACATATCCAATACCCTGCGCACCCAGTGCTGTAAAACCAGCGTCCCAGCCTGGGCCTGATTCTCCTCGACAGGCAACAGTAAACTTCACGTTGACTTCCACGGCAGCAGCAACTTTCCCAGCTATCTAGCAAAAGAAGGCTTAAGCGTCCTGAAGTATGTCTTGCTTTAAGTAGAATTAGGATTTAAAGCCTGGGGCTTCTAGATCGGCTGCCAAGAAAAACAAACAACGCAAAGAAAGACAGAATAAAGATCTTCTGTCTTCTTACTCTATTGATTGTATAAGATGTAGGGGGAAAATTAAAACATATTTCAAGATTCTTTTCTTTAGATCAAATCCATGGAGTTGTAATATGTACGAAACAAAACGTATCAAGAGGGTTTTTTACGCCCGACCTAATAACGAAATGCACTGCATCTTTTGTTGAAAAGTGAGTGTACATAAGAAACAACGTAATATAGCTACATCCCCCTGTGTTTTTTGTAGCTGTATCTCGATACGCGCGGTCTGTATTTTTACTAATCAAGAGTGAATACATGCCTGGTTTTGTTTCGTTTTAGTTTTGTGCGGTTTGGTAGGGGTTTATAATTTTTTCGCTATTATGTTTGTGGACTATTGGTACTAATTCTACTTTTCAAAGGTGAATATGCAATGAGGCAGACTGGGGGAAGTAATCCCCCTGCCCCAGGTTATGTATGAGCGCTTATACCTAAAGTCCACAGCAGTAATTTCCAACCCAGTGCGTCTTACAATAATTTCTTTAAATAGCCTTCCACATCTCCAAGTCACGTAGAACCATCTAAAAGGATAAATTAAAACTTAAAAAATGATAATAATTAAAGCCTTCATCAAGCCACTTTCCCCTTCTGTGTGATCTGCCACCTTGAAGATCATTATGCAGGACAGTCCCCCGTTTCAAAGAAGACGGAGTTGTCCTTTATACTGTCAGCGCATACTTTATAAAAATAAAACTATTGCAAACCCTGATGCCCATGATGTTCCTAAAAGGATTATTAGCAATGATTTGTCAACTCCTGCGGTCTCAGTAGGCTACCTTTCTGCGTGATTTCGAGCAGGTCGCGTCAATTACTGGTGCCTATGTAGCGGGTTGTTTGATCAGAAGAAGCATATGGTGTTGCTTGTAGGCTGTGAGTAATCATGGGAAGAGAAGAATAGCCGAGCCCCGTCCCTCGGTGGC